AGATGNGATCTGGTACCCTTATGGAAGTGTTCTTTACATGTACAAACATAGAAATTATGGAAGATCTTTATAGAAGGAAGTGTTATTTACATGTACAAACATATTATTAAATCCTGGAATTAGGTTCTGATTTAGTATCTTTTGAATATTTGTCCTGCCTCTTATAGATCATAGGATCTGGTACCCTTATGGAAATGTTCTTTACATGTACAAACATAGAAATTATGGAAGATCTTTATATTAGGTTATACTCTAATTCGTAAGTATTAGATAATGTTAGCTCCACGAGAAGTGTTATTTACATGTACAAACATATTATTAAATCCAATTTTCTAGTTGTTTTTATTCTTCTGTCTTTTGTTGTCCCAAGATTTGATTTAAATTTTGAAGTTGAAGAAGTGTTTGAGTTATACTCTAATTAGTCAGTATTAGATAATGTTAGCTCCACGAGATGACAATTAAGATTATTATTTTGTTCCGTTGTTCTTGGTGAGATATCTGCTTTGGATTTCTTCTTTCAAAATTACTATATAATATGGATTGGAAAAGTGAAGTTCCTGGCTGGTCTAACACTGACCGAGATTTAAAGCTAAAAACACTTTCATTATATCAGTGGGTGTTTTCTCTTTGGATTTTACATTTGCCAGCTGAACATTAACAGTGAAAGGTAAACATAAGTGAAATGCCATTAGTATCTGGCTGTAGTGGCATAGTGGCATAATGGACATGGAGAGTTACTACTGTTGACTGGTTTGTTCTAATCCCACCAAGTGTAATATAAGATTTGCTTATATTTGCAATAAAATAGTGTTTGAGATTGAACTACCCTTTCCTTTTCTGCTGCACTGTCGTTGGTTTATTACACATAAAATCTTTTATTTAATGTTCCATAAAGTACTAAACTAATTGTAAATCAGTCTTTTGATTTTATAACTTAGAATCTAAGAATATTGGATTTATTGTGATTCTTCTTTAAATTATTACTGAATGACTCTTTGTATTTAAGAATAGAACTTTATATTCAAGTGGAGCAGTTAAATGTATTTAACTGGATAGAACGGGTTTGCGATTTTCCAATGAGCGGGCGAATCTTGATGTGGCTGTGAAGCTTGTTATGGCCACCGCCACCCAACTCTGTAGTGATCTTATTCGTTTTAAAAGATATGAAACTTCATATTAACATGGCATCCCTCCAATCCTTAATTGGTTTAGGGGGTCCTCTATTTACATAGTATTTATTTTACTGTTTTTTAATTGACGTGGGACTTTAGACTCATATTTATATACATGAGTTTGCATAGTGATTAAACAATATTCCTGTTTCAGAAGTAATTAATTTTGACTAGATATAAAAACTTTTTGAAGTATTTATAATCTCATATTACCCTAAGTAAGATTAGTCTAAAAAAATCATGTGATATGAGAGTAAAATACACTTAACTAAGACCGTAATAAGTGGCTACCTATGAGCATAAATGGCCACCTATGAGCATAAAACCAAATTCGCATCCATTGAACAGACAATAAAAAAAAAAAATCGGGCAAGAAGAATTATTGAAGGCATTTTCCCCAATGAGTTTGCAAGAATCTATTCTCCAATTGGTATGGGAGGTACTAACCCTTTTAGCTGGAAGCACATTTGGAAGAAGAAATTTCATACTTTGTTTTTTAATAGAGGGTGAAAACTGAATTGGGCTCTTCTTCTTGGGGAGGGGTGAACAAGAGGGATGTCATTCTAATATTCTTATTCTCATTCTCAACAATTCCAATTTTAAAAGGAAAAATGACAATCACCTTATTAGTTTCAATCATCAAGTTTACACTTTAAATGCTGTGTTCACTAATATAATTTTATAAAATAAAAAATATCTTTTATTTTTTGTGAAGTTCGTGGCAGTTTCATATCCGTAGATATTTATTATGAGTGGATAGTAGATAGTAAATATTTTAATATTTATTTATAAACAAGAGTATTATAATTGAGTATTTATTATTGTAAAAAGTTAAAATTTAATTTATATTTTAAGTTAAATTTAATTTATATTTAATTTAGTTTAATTTAATTTATATTTAATTTAATTATATTTATTTATTTTAGAATTTTATTTAGATTTTATTTTAAAAAATTATAAAATATATTTTTCTAAATATTTGTGGGTATATACATATTTTAAAATATGCGGGAATATGTTTTAAATGAATATCCAATTAGTAACGAAACAGGTAATGAATAGATTATTGATGTAAACTGAATAGTGAAAAAACTATCTGTACCTGATCTAACTCATTGTTAATTCTTTATGGTTAGTTATAACATGTGATGTTACCAAGGATAATAATGGATTGGATATATATAGTGTTTATTCGTTATCAGATTCACACTAAAAATTTGTAATCTAATTGGATGACTGATTTTTAACAATAATTTTTTTATGGTCAAATTTTCATTTGTGAATACAAATGTAAAAGGAGAATACATATAATTTAATAAAAGAAAATAAAATATTTTATTTATAATGTTTTTGTTCTCATTTGCAAATGTTCAAATTGTAAATTAGTTAGGAATATAGTTAAAATTACAATTTGAACAATATAAAAAGTAAATTTTTGTTATTACTATTTGCTAATTAAACTAAAAAGTCACCTTTTTTTAATATAATTCAATATATACACACAAAAGAATCTCTCCTTGACACATACTAATTAATGAAATGAATCTTTTAAAATAATGAAACTATATATAACTTTAATATTATCTAAATAAAGTAGTTATATATGCAAATAGTATCAAAAGGTTTTATACTATTATCTTTAATAAATTACAATAATAGTATTTAGTAATCCAATACAAAATTGATTAAGAATTCAAGTTGAAAGTTCCACCTAACTAAAAACAAATAAGTTGAATGATATACATAAATAAATGAATTCATAAATTAATTATTTTAAGATTTTGAGTTACGGTAAGTTTTTATACATAAATTTATTTACTACTTATAGTTTAATTCATTTTGGTGAGGATTCAACCATGGTCAAAGTGTTCTCTTCAAGAAAACTCACATTGAAAATTCTTTTATTTTAGAAAAATATATTCTATCACGATATTTTATAATTAAGTTATACATTATATATAGGAGTTTGCTAATACGCGTACGCCTGTTTTTCAGTTGGTACATTTTAGCAATGTGTACCGGTTTTAGTAGACAAAAATACCCTTATATTGCTCACCTCCTTCATTCATCTCAACTCTTTATCTTTCATCTCTCTCACTCTAACATTTTCTCTGTCATCCTATGGTAGCCCAACTGAAAAAAATCAGAAACACTAACAATCTTACAAAAAATGATTTTATAATGAGTTTTCATTTTATAATTTTTGTCATATAATTTTATCTAATTTTCACAAGCATAATGACATCCGAAGGAATTGGTAATTGGCCTGGAGGATTTTTTTTAGAGATAATGATTAACATATGCAGATGATGAAATTACATAGGTTAGTGAAGATGGTGAAATTGAAGATATCTTGAATGAACCTTTGCCTGAAGGTGAATATGTCAATGACTCAACTCTTACAAAGGCAAATTGTTTAACGACAAGTGTTTCTGATTTTTTCAGGTGAGGCTACAGTAGGATGACAGAGAAAAGGTTGGAGTGAGAGAGATGAAAGAAAAAAGGTTGAGAAGAATGAGAGAGGTGACTAAGAGTTTGGGGTTCTTATGTACCATGGATATACGCACACAAATATATCATGGATATACACACACAAAAAATCAACGTAAAGTAAAACACAAAATTACTTCCACTTAATTCATTTGTGAAATCAACATATTATCGTTATCCTTATAAAAATATAGGAAGAATAAAATTATAAAAATTAAGTCAAACATAAATAATGTTATGATTAAATGAACCACTTTCTTTCTTTGTTCTTGATTTATTTAAGGAGAACGAAAATTTCTTCAAATAATGGTATCGCTTTGAGATCCCATTAAACTTAAAAAACAAACTTCCTTTCATATTTTATCATTGATTGAAAGATCTAGCTCCTCATAATTACACTAAAATAAAAAAAGGCAAGAGGGCGTATTAATAAAATATATAATTAATATATAATCTTCACTTAAATCTAACGTTTTATTTGTAAATTCTTTCTTGATTTAAAGAATAAATAATGACTATTAATGATCCCATAATAAGAAAACAATATTTGCATTTGGTTATGTTCCAATATTTCAAAACAAAAATTCAGGACAACATATTACAGTATATTAAACAAAAAAGAAAAAAATATAAGAATAGAACAGAAGATGTTTATTGAACAAAAAAAAGATGATTACAAAATACATACCTATAACAGAAAAAGAATAGAGAGAAAAATAATAAACATATATAATATAGATGAAAAAAATTATGAAAATTAGTTTAATCAGCACAAATATAATTATAATTAGATGAATATCTTTCTTTGTTCTTGATTAATTAAGGGGAACAAAAATTCCTTCAAATAATAGTCCCGTTTACAGATCCCATCAAACTTCAAAAATAAACTTGCTTTCATTTTATATCATTTATTGAAAAATCTAACACTCATAATTACAATAAAATACGAAATGTAAGAGGCTTATTAATAAAATATATAATTAATATGTAATCTTCACTGAAATCTAAAGGATTGTTTGTAACTTTCTTTATTTAAAGAATAAAGAACGTTTAACGGAAAAAAAATCATATTTGCACTCGAATATGTTTCCATGTGTCAAATAAAAAATACTAACAACATATTACAAGATACTAAGCAAGAACAAGAAGAATATGAGAATATAACAGAAAATGTTTATTGAATGAAAGAAGATGATTACAAAATACCTCAGCAAGGAGATTATACAACAGTGAAGGAAAATGAAAATGCTAAATCTAATCACAATAGAAAATAACTATAACTGAAAAGAATCAACATATCTAATTAAAACGCATGTAAAAAACTATAATCCACACTCCTTAAAGAACGCTTTGGGAGTTTCTTGATGCCATACTTAATGGAAGACTTATTTCTTTCTCTTGCAACAGTGTGATGAGATTAAACTTGAAAGTTTCCAAAGAATTCTTGAACTCTTCAAGATCTTCCAAAGACATGTTTTGATGGGAGAGATTCCACCAAGAATCAAAACAAGAACGACTCTTTTGTGCTTCTTTCAATTCTTCCAATTGCTTGTGCTTTTCTTTCAAGTTCTTGTGCACATTCTCATATTCAAGTCTTTGCTTTTCGTTATATTCTTGCTGGTCCTGTGTAACTTTGCAGAGTTCGGTAAACCCTCCGCTGACATAGCGATAGAGAACGGCGTCGGTATTAGGATAACCACAGGAATACACGTTGCCATTTTCAGAGGTGATGATCAAAGCAGTTTGTGCTTTGCATAGAAGAGAAAGTTCAGTGAGCTTGTTAAAAAGTCCTAATTTGCGTTTTGAAAAGGTGACGCATCGTCTGTTTTTCTGTTCAACTTCTTTGATCTCAATCTTTCTCTTTCTTTGATTTGATGTTCTTCCATTGTTTGTTGTAGAATAAGGAGCCATTGCATATAAAACGGATAACAAACAAATCACAAACCAAAGAATGAATTACAAAATGTTTTGGTGCCCTTTTATAATGTCCTAATGAGAGTTGTCTAAACGGGCCAACCGGCTCAACCCGGCCCGGCCCACCACGGATTGGCCCCTTAGTGAGCCAATCCAACCCGATTCATTTATTAGTGATCGAAAAAATTTAAACTCGGCCCAACTGATCACAGGTTGGTGGGTTAAACGGGTAGACTCACTGACTCACTTAATTATAATTTTTTTTAAATCCAAAAAAAAATTACAATTTTTTTGTAATTCAAATTTAAATAATTTCACTCTAAAATAATATTAAACTCCAAAGACAATTCAAAATAAAAAATTAACATACAACTCAAATATAGTTGAAAAGCAAACCTAAAAAGTTTATAATATTGATAATTTTTGTGTCATTTATCCATTTATAAGATTAGAGACTTAAATGGATGAATTTATAATATTTTTGTCTCTTGAAACATCCTTTTTCTTTATTATCATTTAAATATAATAATAAAAATGTTAACTAATAATATTAAAATACAAAATAATAAATAAGTAAATTAAAGTAGTTGGGTTGATGATCCGCATAGGTTCAAGGGTTCTAAATAAGTCAGGTTGAAAATTGGTCTGTATGAAAAAATTAAATTTTTTAGATTAATTAATCAGAAATCAAAGCAAGATAAAATCAGTTATTCAGAAAAAAAAAATCTAAATATACATTAGAAGAACAAATATTGCTAGTTTCTTAGTATTGTTTATAAATAATAATATATTTTTTGACTTTAGATGTCATGAGTAGCTTAAAATTAAAGAAAATTATTTATTAGGTATAAAAAACTTTTACATTTTATAAATTTTCATTTTCAAAACAACTTGTATTACTGATCTATATCAAAATAATATTTTTATTTACAACCATTTAAATTATCATTTTGAGACATTTTTCATATTTAAAAATGATCAAAAGCACTAAAAAACTCAGAACATGTTCTCATAATTAATATCAGAACATTTTTGAGACATTTTTCATACTTATTATGCACAATTCAAGCCTTTACTTTTCAAGAAATTCTTGTGTTCCTGTTAGCTTCTAACTCTACATTGTTGGGACATCTTATAAAGAATTATAATGCTATCCCAGAAAGTCAAAACCGTCAAAACTTGTTTGCTTTTTATATACATTCTTATTATTTATTAGTTGAAGAACCTAATTTCTTTAGTTAAAGATGATTTGTACTTATATGGGAATCATGAACATATATTAAAGAACCTTCATAATACACATTTCAATAAACAATTAATTTCAACTCCATAACCCATGATTAAACATTCAATTACACCTTATTCTTTCAAAAACATATTAAAATAAAGTAGAAAAAATGAGTCCAAACTTATTTTCTATGACAGAATTTGATCGACTAGATGTGGAGATAACTCAGTTAGGATCTTCTATAAACTTCATGATCATCAAAAAATATGGATGAATGAAAAAACTCAGAGAGAGAAAACTAAGAGACAAATTTTTAAAAAAATAAAATATATTTTAATAATAAAATAAGTTTAAAAAATTTTATTTATACTATTAAATTATTTTAAAATAAAATATTCACTCTCATTAATTTGAAAACATTTATCAACTTTAATACATTATTTTAAAGATTTTACATATATTTAAGATTTTATATGATTTTAACTTGAAATTTTCATTGAATCATATTAACGAAGATTCCTTTCTTTTAATTTTTTTTCAAGAAAATTTATACATTTTTCTAAAAAAAGATTTATACATCTATTATTTAATGTTTTAAGTATTAATTAATGATAAGAGTTTCTCACAATTTACACCAAATTAAATTTCCTTTATATATATATATATATATATATATATATATTTTAAATAACTGATAGGTTTTGACGCAAATAGTCCGTATTTTTTTTATAGTAATTAATTCTTTTTTGTCTTTAAATTTAATTAATATATAATGATTTTTTAGTAAAATAATTATAATGATAAATATTAATTTTATTTTCATTTTTTTCTTTAAGTTATATTTTCATATTTTTTAGATTCGTGATCCAAATTAAGATAACTTATTCTTTTAGTAAGTCAATAGTTTAAAATTAAAAGAATTCAAAATGAAATAATATATCTTTTCTTCAAAAGTTAAATCTATTGGTAGAACTAGGACAAATTTTATTCTTTAAAGTTTTAGATTTTTAAATTTAAAATTAAATGCGAAAGAAATAGATATTTTAAGATTTGATATGATTTTAGCTAGAAATAATGAATATGAGTAATTTCTTTAAATATTTTTTAAAGGGTTAATACATGATTTATTTAATATATTAATTGACATAAAAGAAATTTACACACCAAATACAATTTCTTTTTATACGGTATCAGTTACTTGAAAAGGAAGTAAAATATATATTTTATAAATATAATTGTATGATTTATTTGTTTAGTTATTTTTTGTTATTTTAAGTGCTTATTAATATTTTTTAAAGTAACTCGTTTTGATATCCGATTGTTACATGTACCACTCTACCTTTGCTGGCCATGTTATATTATAAAACTATTTAAAGTAATTCAATTGGCTAACCTATACTATAATTTAAACAATTTACCACTGGTTTATTTATGTTTAATTTTCTTAATGCACGTCTTATCTAGCATTGTATAAGTATTCGAAATTTAAAACAAAAAAATTTTTTTTTTATTTTTTTTTTTTTTTTTTATGTAGCTAATTGTAGATGAAATATTGTTTTAACCAACTTATAATATAAATCATCTACTAATTCAAATTACCCACTTAAAATTATTAATCAAGTAACAAACTTTACAATATTAAGCATCCAAAATATCAAAATCAACATCGGTTCCCAGCTAATATGATTATTTCACTACATACGATTTTAACCATTCGGTTAACCTAATTAGCCAACACAGATAACATAACTAATTAATTGAACAAATCATATTAATTATCCATAAATCCAAAATAATGGCTACAAATAAAGCATTACTCAACACTTCAAAAAG